TTTTTCAAATTTCTCGTTCCTTTCTTTTTTTTCTTCCAGAATTTTAATTTTAGTTTAATTTTTCTTTCTTTTTTTTTTGTAGTATACATTCTTAAATGTTTTGAAAAATGATTCTTAATTATTTAGCTAATAAAAAAAAGACATAATTTGAAATATTATAAACCGTGTAATTCCTGTCATGCTAATTAGAGTAATGATATAGTAATGATATATATTTTTCAGGTAATAGTGAATTTAGTATTGGTTATAAAAGCACTCTTTTCATATCCATTACCATATTTTGCTGCTGTTCATTTACTCAAAGATAACTTATTTATGGGTACGCCAAAAACATTATTTACAAGGTAAACATTATTAAATGGCAATTATTTTAGAAGTGAATTTTCCAATTTTCTTCAAATCTTTTCTAATTTTGTTTATTTCATAAAATCTAAATTATTTCATTTGTATCCAAACGAATGAAATAAAAAATTGAATAAGAAAAATGAAAAGAAATCAATGCAAAAAGTAGGTATTACTCATGTGATTAAATACGTTTATGGTATTAGTGATATGATTAAATATGTTTATAGTATTACTGATATGATCCAATATGTTTATTACAATATCAGTAGATTTTCCGGAAAAGAAAAGAAAAAATCTAATTAATGTGCTACGAATACCAAAAGATGCTTTAGCTGTTACGGTGCTGGCCATAGTTTACGTGAATGGGCACTTTGTTTACGGATTATTTTGGTACTAATAACTCTGATGATGGCAATGTCGGTACCATATTTAATCGAATTAATGGGCCTTATTGGTAATATCACTGGAACTATGTTAAGTTTTATTTGGCCGGCAATGTTTCATCTCAAATTGAAAGGAGCACATGCAAAAGAAAGTGATCGAAAATTTGATAAATTTATTATCGGTATTGGCATCTGCTTGATGACTATTGGACTCTATTTTTCAGCACTCGAACTGATACAAGCAATTCGCTATGAGGAACGGTAGTGTGAATTATTTTTCGCTTTTATAAAATTTCATTTCAAACCAGAAAAAAAAAAGAAAAAAAAAGCGGAACAGAATAAGATAGGAAGCAAATATTGCAATCACAAATGCATAAAATAGTAAAATATTCAAAATAATTTCAAAATTTGAGATTAAATACAAAAATCTCGAGAAAAAAAAAATGTTAGACAAAAATTGCTCTTCCATAGAATTAGAATTATAAATACTGTGATAAAAAAATTTGTAATGCTAAAATACTTGCAAAGAAGCTATTTTATTTTTGTATAATTGAACAATTTTTTTAAATGTATACGTTATTAATTTAAGTATTATTGCTATTGTTTTTTATTATTAGTAGAAATCAGATGTAGTTTGGTGGCACCAGTGATATTTCATATTGATTAATTTTGATAAAACTTGGTGTTTGATAAAAATTTTCATTTGTTTTCTTCTTTTTACAATCCCATAATGACATGAACCTTGCTAAATTACATAAATAGTATGAATATTCAGGTATTTAAGTTTCATTTTCCCATTATTTACGTCTTCATTATCCAATGTTACGGGTATGAAAAAAAAAATAAATAAATTAGTGATTGAAGAAAAAAAAGAGACAACGAGATGACATCAATGCAAATTTGAATATTCAATTCAAATGTATCCCAATTTTTTTCTCTCTGCTTTCGGTAATACTTTCTCGATGATGACAAATAAATACTTTTTTTTTTCTGTAAATCAAAAATATTTTTTTCATTACAGAATTATCGGAATTATTTTTCAGTAACTATGGATGACTGCCAGTATTTAATTAAATTTGCTTTTAATCGAAATTATTAATCGCTCAAAAGGAAATGAAATATTTGAAGTAAACTTCATAAAGTCATGCTACAGTGCTGCAATTAAAAAAACAGTTAAATTAATTTTCGATTTCAATATTTGCTCACTTCAATCTTTTTTTAATGGAATTCTCTTTTAGGAACTGTTTCAATTAATTGCCAATATTAAATTTCAACCGGAAAGAACGAACTAAAGGGAAAAAAAACAAACTAAAATTTAAAAAAATTATTAAATTTTGGCTAATTGACTCCAAGCCTTTTAAATGGAAATGAAGCTGCTAATGGTGAATTAGGTTCTAAATATGATTCCTGTATGGAAACACCGTATGCTCGGGAAGATTTTAGTGTCTAATGGGGTGAACGATTCGGATGGTGGGGGTTTTGGCTCGTTCAGGCAGTGTTACGGCGAATTTTTGTTACGGATTACACTGCCTGCCTTCATCGAGAATGAATTTTAATAGTAAAAGAAAAAACTATTGTTCACATCAATATACATTTATTTATTTCAATTTTCGAAATTATTTTATGCGCAGTTTTGTAGGAGAAATGGAAGTATTTGCTTGAATGATTTACATTAGTACTGGTGATATTGTTGTTAAGCTTACGTTAGGTACATGTTATGTAACAGTACATTTTAACATTAGTATTGTTGTTACACTTATGTTAGGTATGTGTTATGTAGTAGTATATTTTAATATTAGTATTATTGTTACGCTTATATTAGGTATGTTTGTTATGTAACAGTACATTTGAACATTACTACTGATGTTACGCTTACGTTATATTGTGATCACATTATTACTTTATAGTTCATACGCCATTGTAGTACTTTAACCATACGTTACTTTTTCCCCACACATTGTAATCAGAACTGCTTAATAACGTAATGTTATTTGAGTGACATTCAGATTTAAATCTTAATCAGATTGGATTATATTTTATAGTGGAATATTATCAATATTATTTTTTCCAGGAAATATGGGTGCTTATCGTTACATGCAGGAATTGTGGCGTAAAAAGCAGTCAGAGGTTTGTTTTTTTTTTTTTTGTTTGTTTGTAAGTTCATAAGACACTTTTGCCGGTCTAATAATAATGATCTTGAAGTTTTGGCATGACAAATTGAAGTGCTGAAGTCGCCGATCTCTTTATGCAGAAAAATCATAAATTGGATGAAGTTAGATCAATGTTCATTAATTCAGCGAAGAGATTATTTGAAAAGCTTTCAGCATTTAGCTTTGTAAGATTCTTTGAGTGCATAGTTGTGAACAGTGTAGATTTATGAGATTACTTTAAAGTCAACTAAGTAATTATTGCAGTTGTGATACTTAATATTTGAAGAATTCATGCGTGTTTAGGAAAAAGAAGGAAAGATAGATTTTGAAAGAGTTTGTGGTGTAGGTGCATGTCTAAATTGTTATGATTTCCAGCTACCTCACAATAAAATTTGCTAAGAAAACCTTCACTTTCTCCAATTGTTTCGGAAAGAATTAATAACAGGAAGAATCTCATCCAGTTTTTTCTTTTGTTTCTAGACGATGCGATATTTGCTTCGAATACGCTGTTGGCAGTATCGACAACTCACTGCTATCCATCGTATCTCTAGGTCAACGCGCCCAGAAAAAGCTCGTAGATTGGGTTACCGTGCGAAACAAGGTAGTTTTTCGATTAACTTTTTAATAAAGCATTATAAAAATTATAATTTTTTTTTTTTAATGAAGCATTATAAAGAATCATTTTTCTCTGATCATCAATAATTCGTTTGAGAATTTAGCAGTTTTATTTTGAAATTAGAGTGGAATTTTAGGTTACGTAATTTATCGTGTAAGAGTACGCAGAGGTGGTCGTAAGCGCCATGTCGTAAAAGGACAAACATATGGTAAACCGAAAAATCATGGTGTTAATGAATTGAAATTTGCTCGCTGCAAACAGTCTATTGCTGAGGTTTGATATATTATCTTCCTTGTTTTCTTTGAGTCATTTCTTTAAATTATGTAGTAAAATGTTCGTTTACAGGAGAGAGTTGGACGTCGATGTGGCAGTCTCCGTGTACTGAATTCTTATTGGGTTGGTCAGGATTCTACATACAAGTTCTACGAAGTTATTCTAATTGATCCGGCACACAAGGTCATTTAATTGTTACTGCATTATTCTTTCAAATAACAGAGATACAAATGTTTATATATCAGACTGAAGTGGTATTAGTGGATAGTTGTGAAATCAACTACTTGTAAGCTTATAGTTATACAGGTCTAATTCTTGATTGCCATATATTTTAAATAGAATGATAATAGAGCCTTGTTTAGGTGGTGATATAACCAAAATTAACAGCAAAGAAAAGTAAATTTTTGTTAGTTTTTAGGCCATTCGAAGAAATCCAGATACGCAGTGGATAACAAAGCCTGTCCATAAGCATCGTGAGTTGCGTGGATTGACGTCTGCGGGTCGCAGAAGCCGTGGTCTTGGTAAGGGACATCACTATTCAGCAACGAAAGGAGGTTCACGTAGAAAATGTTGGCTACGTCGCAACACTTTGTCATTGCGTCGTAAACGTTAAAGACATAAAATATAAGATAAGGAGTTGTTATGTATTTTGTAATGTTTACTGTTCAGTGAAAAGATTATAAAATATTTGATTTTCAATTAGTTTTTTCTGTGCATCTTAAAACAGTTAAATTGTTTTATGGAATGTATTGGAACATATAAAGAAATGACATATAACTGTATTGAGGACATTCATGGCAAATGCTTTCGATGAGTCGTGAAAAAATGGAAATTGAGTTTATTAGTAATGAAAATTGAAAATTTGATGCTTTAATTGCATAACTATCCAAGCAAAATAGTTTTTTGTTATGTGCAAAGTATAGTGAATTTGGGATAGGTAGCATCGATGACTTTGAAGTGTATGTTTTTTTTTAAATACAAACTATTTGCAGGAAGAATCAATATTTTGATCTTTTAAATTTAGTAAAGATCAATCAATATTGTGATCTCTACTAAATTTGTCCACTAGGTTTCCAATCATGTCGAATAGCGTAAACCAGGCTTCTTCCACATCTTTCCCTTGACAGTGAGGATATGATTGCAAAATTGTTATCACTTCTTTTAGCATATGCTGAAAATAGAAAAAGCGAAGTGAAATAGTGGCAGTATTTACAAAAATTTGGTCTTAAGACCTGAGGATATTAGGAGTGAGTGTGTTAGGCTAATGTTCCTTATCATACGCCTATTAGCCATGGAAAAATAAGACACAAAACCGATTCCTGATAAGATAAATTTATCATCTCATTGGGAGCCATTTTTGTGTCGATTAAATTTATCATTTTCGATTCATTTAAGAAGTGCAAGTTTAGAATGCTAAAATTTTGAGGAAGCTTATTCAGTTATGGTGTGATTTCATTATTTATTTTGTAAAAAAATTCTTATTACCAATTGACATAATGAAAGTTTAAAATCAAATTCAAAGACTAATAAACGAATGCACACCATAATATGATATTTGTAGATGTGCCATTTCAAGTGTGCAGTAGTAATTTTGCTAATCGTTTTGATTAATTTTTCTTCATTTTGCATGCTATCAATAATGGCTTTAAGCCCATTCATATAAACCAATCCATGTTTTTTCACTTCATCGGCTGTTATAATTGAGCTATCCGGAATACCACGAAATTGTGGCCATATATCTTTATATTCCGGAAAATCGCTGAACAGCCTGGCATATTTTAAGGAATGTAGCAAAATATGTTAGTAAAATTTACTAAATTAAATGATGAAGATAGTTATGACTTCGATTTGTCTCATTCAGTTAGTTAGAGGAAAATAATTTGAAACTTTACCAACATTTCTATCACAATATGTTTTCTTTATGAATAAATCGAAAATATGACAGAACAAAATTATTTCAAACCTAAAAATTACCATTTCAAATTGTTAACTACGGACAACAGGAATAGAAAATATTACAAAGGAATTATTAAATTTCAAAACTTCAACTATTTTTGAGATAAAAGACGAAATTCCTCCATTGATATGTTAGCAGCGGTATTTCTATCTATTGAATTAATTAGTCATATTTAATTTAAAGTGATATTTGATTGACTAACTGAATAACGGCTAATGCCTTTAATGAGGTGTAAAAAAAAAGTAAAAATTAAGGCTAGTTCTTACAGGATAAAAATTTTATGTCCATTTTTTTTGGGATCACTGTACAGATATTTGAATGTTTCTTGAATGATACGTCGTTGCTTGTTGGATAATCGTTTTACTTCTTCTATAAGAAAAACTTTTTTTGCAAAATTTTAACATTGGTAGTAATACTTTAAACGAGAAAGAATGACTCATTTACTAATTCGTAAAATATTGGCCTAATTTCATTTCAAATTAATTTCTCAATTAATACCACATATAGTGGCTAAGTTGTAAAAGTAAATCACGAAAAATGTCCACATCTGAAAGATATAAAATTCTAACGCTTCGAATTTTGTTAATTAACACTGCAACAATTTTCATTTGTTTTCATTTCCTTGACTTCAAACTCTTCTATGCATCCATTTAAACAAATATTAATTTAGCCATGGAAATAATTGAAGAGAATTTTCATTATAACTATCATTTATCAGCGAAAAAAAAAGACAAATAAAAATCATCACACATGAAATTAAACATATATGCCAATGAAATTCGCTAAAATTGTGTATGAAATAATTTTAACAGTTATGAAGCAAAAATTCAAAACAGTTCTCATATAAATTTTTTTTTTCAAATACTTCGAAAATTTTTTATTTTCTCTTAGTTAAAATTTATGACTTCTATTCATTATTATAGCATAATAATAGAATAATCCTATAATTGCTTACCTGAGCAAATATGAGCTAAAGCTCCATTTCCATGTCGTTTCGATTCCACATACATCATATTAATGAGTGTTAATGTTTAAATTTGTATAACTGTTAAAAAAGCTTTTAAATTTGTATAACTGCTAAATGGCACTGCTAACAGTTGAAAATATGCTTGATGAGAAATATAAATTAAAAGCAATAAAATAATTTATTCAGTAAGCAGTAAATGAAGTAAGCAGCATTATCTGAATATATTGATTATAAAATGAATAAGCCGAATAAGTCAGCCTCTTTATGTGTCTTCACTCAAATTTTAATTTAAAATGGTAAACTATAAATGAAAAATGTGCACGAAAGGCAACCTTTTTTACGCCATGTTTTTCTTAGAAGATAAAAATTTATTCCTCGAATTTCCTTCTTTGCATTCATTTGAAGCATATTTATATCATTTGATATCAATAATTACATCACGTCATACTTATGAAAATAATTTAGATTGCAAACAACGTATATCATTTGATTAATAATATGCAATATTTGAAAGCAATAAAACAGTTGTGAATTTTTTCCTTTAATATTTTTAATAACAAAAAAAAAGAAAAACTAATAGATTTAAATTGATCACTAAAAGCTAAATTTTTTTCAAACATTTGAAGAGAAAGGTTACATGAGGTCTAAAAAAAATTGAAGAAAAATTTTTCTTTTTTTGCTCCTTTATGTTTAAACAATAAATTGTTGACTATACTTTTTACTATAAATTATGCATTTTCAACAGGATTATTGTTATTATGCGATAGAAATAATGTAGTTTAGCGTGATCATTTGCTTTTTTGTAAATGAAATATTGCAAATTTTTATGGAAGATAATTCATAAATATTAATGATGAATAATGACAAATTTATTGAATATTTTAACTCATGTAAAGAAAAATTATTCTTTGAAGCAATTTTGGTTAATGATAAATTTATTGAACATTTCAAGTGGAACTATTCTTTGATAAATAAATAATTTTGGTTAATGATAAATTTATTAAATATTTCAAGTGAAACTATTCTTTGATAAATAAATAATTTTGGTTAATGATAAATTTATTAAATATTTCAAGTAAAACTATTCTTTGATACATAAGTAATTTTGGTTAATGATATCATATTGCGTAAATGGTATTTTTGATGATAAAAGAAGTACCTTATACATATAAAGAATGTTTTTTATTCTATCTTATAAAAAATTAATTGCATGAATCATTCTGCTAATATGAACTGATATGGATTACGGTGCTGTTTCCATAATAACGGGAATTATAAATCAAAGAAATCATATGTTTAAGGAATACCATACAATCAACTATCAAATCTCCAACAAATTTGATTACTCGATTATAGAAATCATTGGAATCAGCTTGATGATTTATAAATATTCTAAATATATTTAAATAATAGTTCAATATTATCTTAAAGATTACTTTTAAAAATGTCAAATTAAATTAATTCTTTCCGTTTTCTCTTGTATATATATATATCAGAATGATAATTCTCCAACATATTCCAGTATGCGGTCGTTCCGAAAAACATATATATAACCAAAATAATAATTCTCGAACACATTCTGGAAACGTGAAATCCGCTCCGGAAAACATATGTATACTAGAATAATAATTCTCCAACGTATTTCGGAAATATGCTACTCATTCCGGAACACATACAAGACGAAATAGTGATTTTCCAACACATTTCGAAAATGCGCAATCCCCTCCGTAAATATGCAATTTTGCTCCGGAAACATGTAACTCCCTTCCGGCAAATTTGTCCCAAACCAATCAATATATGCCACTTCGATTCAAACCATAAATGAATTCTGTTCAAATGCAAATTCGCTACATGGTGGTGCGGGTTGTTTAAATTTTGTACGAATTTTCGAAATTTATAAATTCGTTAAATAAATTTTTGATAGCATTTTAAAAAGACTATTTAAAATTTAAGGAACAAATTCGTTCAGATGCCGAAAATTGTCATTGGTAACGGTAACTGGAAAAGGATTGATATTCCTGTTAAATGTATCAGTGATGATAGTTTTGCTTTTCTTTCATCATTCGAAGAATACGTACCAACCGGAGAATGCAAGGATGTAAGCAATATGATGATTTTTTCTTTCTCAATCGTCTTTACTTTTTAATTGAATGATGCAATGTATTTTATAGCATATACAAGAAAAGATATTGAGAAGAATTTCAAATATAGAAATTTTGTATTTATGATTTAAATAATAAAATCATTAAAGTTTGCTGTTATTTTAAAGATTACAAACTTTTAAAGTTGTTGGATTAATTTTTTGATTTTGATGAAGTGACAAGAAAATATCATTATTTTTTTTTCTTATTACATTGATTATGTTCTCTTTTACTTATTTCACTTTTTTTAATCCATTCCATCGTTGTTTTTTTTTTTAATTTAAAAGATTGTAGACGAAGAAGAAGGTGAAAAAGAGGAAGGCAAATATTGCCTTGGATAAATTAGAAACAAATGATGATCACACGCGTAAGAGGAAAAAAATGAAAAAGAAAAAGTTGAAAGAATCTGATGAGATTATGGATGCGTGGCAGGTAAATTTATATATATCAAAGACGAAAGTTGTTCTTTTTAAATAAAGAAACTTGTCACGGATGTCATTTTTTTTCTTATGCATAAAAATAACCACCATTCCTTGTTCGTACTCTATGGTGATTTAGGGAGGAAAACTGTTTCACTGTCTTCAGCTTTAATGAATCTACTTCATTTAATTGTACTTTTAATTCGAACATCAATATGATTGTATGTAGTGGATAAATACTAATGAATAATAGATATAATTTGATAAAAGCCCAGAAGATAAATAAATACTTAAAATATATGATAATTTATTATCATAAATATATGATAGTAAACTATCATATGTTTTTACTGTTCTTTTTTTATTGTTTTGAAGGTTCCTATTGCGAAGAGTGAAAAAGCAAATGGTGACAATGAAAAAGTGATAAGTTTCAGCAATAAAGAAATTGGTATATGTTTCGTTTTTTTAAAGTGTTATCTTCCTTTATTTCCCTTTTTTTTCTCGTCACCGTTAAAGAAAACTTTAATGCAGCGCATTATTTTACTAAGTTATTATTGCAATGATATGATTGCAGATAAACTGGATGGAAGAACGGATGAGATTACAGGGATGTCGAACTGGATAAATCTTTGCATTTCTAATACAGTTTTGAAAGCTATTGCTGACATGGGGTATTCATTTGTCACTTGTAAACTTTGTAGACTGTAGATTAGTTATTAACCATTTTAAAATGTTTTCTTTAATGATAGTGTAAGATATTATAGATTTGCTGAACCTACGGAAATACAGAAACTTGTTATACCAAGCGCTATCACGGATCACCTTGATATCATTGGAGCTGCAGAAACAGTAAAATTTAACTTTTTTTTAATTCTTAAGTAATCCACAAAAGGAGAAATTTTCCTGATCGATGGAAAGTTTCTCTGTTTTTTTAATTAAAATTATTTCCTTCAATCTTTATTCTAAAGGATCTCTCAATTATTAATTATGTAATTGAAACAGACTAATCGTAATCTCGTGACATATATCTGCAGTAGTTCACTGTTATGATGAGTCCTTTTGTTTATTGATTTTAACTGTTACGCTAAATTGTGAAACTGTCGCAGAATCATATATTTTTAGGGGAGTGGAAAGACATTGGCATTTGGCGTGCCTGTTGTTGAGCATCTTTTAACAAACCAATCATCTATTGAAAATGAGCAAATAAAGAGTATTCGAGCTCTCATCCTTGCACCGACTCGTGAGCTGGTGATGCAAATTAAGGATCACATCTGTGCTTTGCTAAAATATACTCCGTTCAAAGTAACTATTGCTTTCTTTTTGTAAACTAGGAGGTTGCAGCTTTCATGAAACTTCATATCAAAATGAAGTAATTGAACATATCACATAGTAAAGCATTGCCGAGTTGGACATTTATGAGGTTAAGGAATTTGACGGAAAGTAATTATTTTGATAGACCACTGGTGAATGTACTATATAGAATTAACCAGAAAGTTTTAGTGCTCTTACAATGAAATGGAAAAGTTCATCTGTCTTGAAAGGATTATTTCATCTCTTTCCGTGAGAGTTTTTAGTCCTTTGATCTATAACATGCAACTTGTGACTATTTTTTGTTTGTTCTGAGATTTAGAGTAGAACGTATGTTTCAAACTATTTGTGTGCTGTTGTATCTTCAGAATGCATTAAGAAAATTGAGTAATTTGTTTACTCAGTTTTTAGTTATCCAATATCCAATTATTCAATTTTTACTTGTACAAGAGAGATTTGAAGTTATTTTGATTAATTTTTTTTTTTTCATTTCATAGGTCGCATCTATAGTGGGTGGTCTTTCACTACAAAAACAAGAACGTATATTAAAATACGTTCCTGACATCGTTATTGCAACGCCAGGACGACTTTTGGCTTTGATGACATCAGCCGAAGCTGATAGCTGTCTTTCTGATTGGTCCCACTTACAATGTCTAGTGGTCGATGAAACAGATCGTATGATTGAAAAAGGACATTTTGAAGACCTGCAACATATTTTAGATACTATAAAGAAGTAAGTATGTAAGCTTTTATATTGGAATATCGAGAAAGTTGTGCTTTTTGTGCTGGAAATAATTTACAGATTAGAAGATAAGGAATGGTCTTATTTCGGTGTATATTTTAAATTCTGCAGTAAATTCAACGTTCCTTTCGATGGTAATGTAATTGAAAGCAGTATTAATAACCGTCCAATTATTATGTCTGTTTCAATAAGTACACTGAAACTTTTGCAGGAATGCATGTAAAAAACTGCAAACTTTTGTATTTTCTGCAACTCTTACATATACTCAACCTGTATCTAAGAAGCGTGATGGTATCAATTCTGCTAAAATGAGTACAGATGAAAAAATCAGTAAGTTCTTTCGAGTTGTCTAATTTTATCGTTAACTTTCGAAATTTTGAATTTTATGCAGAAATATTATTTAATAATTTTCTATTGTAAATGTAATAAATAGATTTTTTCTTCCTGTAACTGCAGGACAATACATTATTTTAAAAGCACATACGCCGTGAGCTTTGGAATTTCCTTTCAGCATTTTTCGTTATCTTGCTAAAAATTTGTTAATCAGCATGATTCTCTTTTTAATAGGGAAGAATGTACAAAATGCTATATTTTATTTTCCATACTTATTATGCCTTTATTATACCTTATTTTTTATGTCTTATCCATTTCAGCATACTTGTTATGCCTTTATTATACCTTATTTTTTATGTCTTATTTATTATGCCTTTGTTATGCCTTATTATGCTTTTAGTTTTTGTTTTTTTTTTTCTGCTTACGATAGTGAATGTAGCATTTAACTTGCTAATAACAGAAGAATCGATATTAGTGCATACAGGCTCTAGATTTTTATTTGTGGATTAATTATCTCTTGCTAAACTATCAGTATTAAGCTATTTTTTGCAAGGAATATCAAGATTATTTCATATCTTGTTTACTTGTTTTTAGTACATGTGCATATTAGAAGCGTATATTCACGAAACAGTTTTCTTTTTGATTGTTTTTCTTGACTTTGCGATAAACTCCTATCTTTGTTCTTTAGGCAGATTGATTGAAATCACTGGAATACGAAAGGAAAAGCATAAAATCATTGATATTACTGGCGAAAGAGGTACAGCTAAGACAGTTGTAGAAGCTCGAATAAACTGCAATAATTTGTTGGAAAAGGTACGATTCGTTATGGATTACTATCTATCCTGATTGTCTCTTCTTAATGATTTCTTTTCAACTGATTAAAACTTACTGATTAAGGATACGAATCTTATATATCTATTGAATCGTTATGCCGGGCGGACATTAGTATTCACCAATTCCGTCGATGCATCTAGAAGGTTACATGGAATCTTAAAACAGGTAAAACGGAAATTCTTTTATCATAATTTAACGAAACCTGTATAATATTAAGCAAAGAATATTTTTTTTTAAAAAACATGCAGTTCTTTTTTACTTTTTAGGTGCATCGCTTTGTTTTGATTGTTTTTCAGCTTCAGCACAAACCTGCCCCATTGATGTTGCATGCGAAAATGATGCAAAAAAAACGTTTAAAAAACTTGGAAAAGTTTGCTGGTAAGTTCTTACTCCATTTCCCTTTTTAATTTGGTTATTAGTTTAAATCAATGCTTGCAGTAGTTGTAAGATTTTCATCACTGTTTCTTTTGAATTTTTAGTAGAGGAAAATTCTGTTCTGTTCGCAACCGATGTAGCGGCACGTGGTTTAGATATTCGAGATGTTCAGCATGTTATTCATTATCAAGTGCCAAAAACTGCTGAGGTAAATGTTAAAATTAAATGAGTGGTAATTTTAATTAAGCTATACATGATTTAATATCTTATTATGTATCATGGAACTTATGACTTTAGTCATTTGATGATTTGCTCTGCTCTGGCTGGCATTATGTGTGAAATGTGTTACATGTCATCATTTTTTAAAGTTTAGTAGCTGTGTATCAGTTTCTTAATTTTCGAGCCATATATATATTCTTTATAGCTTTATATCCATCGATGCGGTCGTACAGCTCGGGCAACGAAAGAAGGACTTGCTGTCTTACTTATTGATTCCCAAGATGTTCCTTATTACCAGAGGATATGCCGAAATTTGAGTAGAGGTTGGTTGGTGTTCACTGTTTCACATCTATCACCGGAAAATTTTATCCTGACTTTGGAAGTTTTCGTAAAGTGAATAACCAGGGAAATCGGGTATTGGGACATTAATTCTATTCTCTATTTTTCTTTTAATACTTGAATTTCGAAACTATCAATAGAGAAAAAATGGAGCCAAAATTGTCAAGAATGAGATCAAAAGTTAATTTCAATATTTAATATTACAGGTAAGAATGCTTATATATTTTAAAGAAAAATGAGTTTCTGTTGCCTTAGCTAAATGTAATGAAGTTAGCATTGACTTCAAGCTACGTTTTCAATGTTGTTACAGTGTTTAAAAGTACACATCGCAATATAAAAATATTAAAATGTTTTCATTGGAATAACAACCATAATCGATGAGAGGATATTTGAATTCCAGAAAAGGAATTTCCCATATTTCCACTCGACTCACCTGAACTATATGGCGTTTTGAAAAAGAGGGTTGAAGTTGCAACAGCAGCAGAAGCGTTAGATCATCGATTAAAGAAGGTGACAGTTAACAAAAGGAATTTTTATATACTTTCAGTAATATCTAAATCATATTTCATCTCTGATTTAAATATATTTCTTTGTATTTTCATTTCAACATACTATGCAGCTTTTTCTCATGCTCTTAGATAATGCATATTATGTGATAATTGCTTGCATAAATTTGTAGATGCATTCCAAACAATTGTGGTTCGAGAAGGCAGCTGCAAGTGCAGATTTGGAGTTAGACGGAAGGTTGATTATATGTTTTCTGTTTTGAATAATACTTCTCACTTAGCGTTTTTCAAAGAAAAGATTTTTGTTTTCCTAGAAAAAATCTTGAAATAACACTTACCGATTAAAAATGAAAAAGATTGATTTTGATAGAGATAAAAAAGTTTCAGGAAGATAATTTTGGATTGTTATTTACAAGATTTTGTCAGCGATTGGTGAGATTGTTAATTCCCTATGTCTTTGCTTTCTGATTAATTTAAGGAATCAATTCTTTCAATCAAGGAAACAATAATCAACGGTATTCATTGTAGTTGCAAAAATTTTAATGTTGATTTCTATTTTAGTGGATACAGAAAGAAAACCACAACAGAAATGACTGAAGATCTGCGAAAAGAGAAGAAAGCATTGTTGATTCAATTGAATCGTTTGTTGTCACAGCCATTGCCAGCTAATCATGTTCATGTCAAGGTAAAATTTTTTTTTGTGAACAGATAAGTCCTCACTACTAGTTAGCTGCGATCGCTTTTACTGTGATTTTTCAGGCAATCTTGGGCTGCTTATATATTGATTTTTTTTCATTCAGATTCTAGTTATTAAGGTTTATTTTACTTTTACAGTAGCTTATTGAATATTTAATTTGTCGATGTGAGTCGATACGGCAAAGGAAAAGTCAATAGAGTACTGGGATGAAATATGGAATTCTATCATTTAAGATACATTGCGGAAACTAATCACAATCGTTGATAAAGATATTGATAAACATTCTTTTTATTTTATCTTAAATTTATGATTATATTTTGAAGAACGTTTGTATAAGGAAAATGTGTCGATACCTCCCTTTCCTTTTCTTTCTTTCTTCATTATTTTTTTGACAAAATCTGATTATTATCATGGTGTTTTTTAATTTTAAAGAGTTAATTCGGACTCATATGTATTTATATTTTGCTGCGCGCTCTATACACAGATTTCTTAATATAAATCAGCAAAAATTCCATCAAAATATGCAACAGATATTTAATTTTCGGTTATTCACCAGTTTTTCCTTTCTAGAAAACTCGTTATGTAACTGCAGAAATGGTGTCAAATTACGGAAAGTCATCGACACAAAATGCAATTATATCATTAACTGAAAATATGGCACATGAAGAAATATTGAAGAAGAAATGTGGGAGTGTTTTTGTGCGCCGTTTTAATACCTCAAGAAGGAAGAGGAAAAAGCAAATTAAAAGATGATATTCTATTAATACATTTTTCTGTTTTGTCCATTTTACTATGATTCTAGCTAGTAAAAAAGAGAAATTAACTTTATCTTTTTTTATATATATCATATCTTTCAGGAAACATTGCGGATCTTTACTAAAGACTTTCATACCATTCATTAATATACGTTAGCTGAATTTTAGGATTGACTGCTTTTGGCAGTTGTTAGTATATCATTCAGAATTATCTTAGTGATGATTGCAGGAAATTCTCTATTATTAATGAGTTTCAAAATAATCCATACCTAATGAATAGGCTTGATTGGCATTACGGTGTAGGAAATCAATAAACATTGCACGGCGCTTCGTGAGATTATCCGATTTTTTTAATGGAAAAAAGTGTAAGATCAGAATTTCTTTTTCTAGAATAGCATTTATTGTCGATATGTTTAATGTTTGTTGAATTGAATTGTTGATTTTGGTTCATAGATTTCAGCGAATAACAGTTTTGTTTGAATTGTTAATTTTATTATTATGTCAAATTTAAAATATATTAATGAAAAAAAAGCTTAATTCTGCTTATTCTCTATATTAACATCTATGATGATTAATCATGCATATTTTACGTTGTTTTTTTTTTGTGAAAATTCGTAGGTAAAAAAAATGGAAAAAGAAAACTTCCTTTTTTGTAGAAAAATTTTTAAGATAATTCGGTTTCATAGAGTTTTTTCCTCAATTTTTTTTAGAATTTAAGATAATTATTGGAAAGTGTGGCTGTAATGATGAATGTAAATGAAATGAATAGATAAAAAATGGATATGTAAGTAAAGATGATAGAAACAAATATGAGAGGAAGAGATACAATAGAATGATGATGATTAACTAAATGATAAAGTATCAAAGCTCCAGGAAGATACTAAATAATACATATATAATCAGTAGAAGATATGTGTAATCAGTAAGGAAGGATAGGTATAATTAATTATATATCATATGTATAATTAATAGAATTTTAGCTTATAATATTTTTTGAAAAGATTAAATTTGAAAAATAAAACTCCGAGAAGATACTAAACAATACATATATAATCAATAGAAGATACGTATAATCAGTTAAGAAAGAGAGGTATAATTAATAAAATTTTCGCTTATAATATTTCTTGAAAAGATTTCATTTGAAAAATAAAAACGGTTGAAATTGAAGTTTTGCTTATGGAAAATTTCCTCATTTATAAGTGATAAAAATGAAGGATAGAAGATGATAAAATGTTAGTAATAAGATAATTAGCAAAATGGAAGGCATAAAGTAAAAATGAGTTTAAAAAAAGGAAAAAAAGAGTGATAGCTTTTTTTTTTTGTTTGGCGAGGAAACAAAATAAGAGAAAATTGATAGATTTGCGTAGCTGCTCAAAAGAATATAGTTTCTGAAAAAAAAAAAGGAATGGATTTAAAATTTAACAAAAAAGTTCAAAACAATTCCGCTTCATAATTGATGATTTACAACAGTTGGTTCGATTCGATATTTTTGTAACACTCATCTTATTGTTTTCTTGACTAGTTCCAAGCGTATTTTTTGGAAAATTTGAAGCTAAATAATGAGTATTGTTTGTATTTGAACTTAAATAATACGTATATTTCTATTTTAATAAGTATATTTTGATTTGAAGAGTTTTGGAAAATTTTGAAGCTAAATAATAAATATGTTTTAACTCAAATATATTTTAATTCAGATAAGTATATGTTTAAAAGTATATTTGTATTTTGATTTATATTTGTGAAATTTTTTGTGAAATTTTTATTTATTTCTTTTCCATAATTTAATCGATCAGCGTCTAATATTTTAATGGAATAATGATGTGAATATTATGAATGTTTTATCTTTTATTTTGTTAAAATTTAAAGAATATTTTATATATTTTTATCCATGCAATAGTGCTGGATTAATTAAGGAATGAATAAATTGAACAAATTTACATTTATTGGTATCATGCAAGCAATATGCATGATGCAGCATGCAAACATGCCATGTAATTCCATAAATATTTTATTTTTTTTTTCTCTCACTTTTCATTAAATTATTCAATCAATTAAGTATCACATTTTTCCATTATTAAAATGATATTTGTTATTGCTTATGATCGATTGCTAAAGATGAAAAAATTATTCAAATTTACGGATACCTGATAATTTTTTACTTAATACACAATTTTTTTTTTTATTTAAAAAAAAGTGAATTTTACGCAAAAATCAACTAAAATTTTTCACCTAATTCTCCTAAATTTAATTTAAATAAATTCCCTTAAATTTAAGCAAATATAAGTAAATTCCCTTAAACTTAAATTTAAATTATCTTTCATATGCCTTTTAAAGTGATCATTGTCTTATTATTTGTCATTTAATCGTTATTGCTAACATCAAATCGATTTGCAGTTAAATTTCATTGCATGATAGCAATTTGAAATAATATATTTGAAATTTAAATGATTTCTTTATTTAAATTGCCTTTTTCAGTTTTTTTTTTTTTTTTTTTAAATATTTTCATAAATATGCTCAAAATTTTACAACGTCAAGTTTTGCATTTGATTCCATTGTACAATAATAAATCGTCGAATGGAAGGAAAAAAGAAAAACGAAGAAAACATTTTCATGAAAATTGTCGGTTTGTTTTCTCTTTTTTTTTTTTGATAGAATAAATAAAAAAAATTGATCTATAAATGTTCGCATGATACCATCGTATAATTTGTTTGCATAAAAAAAGAATACTCGATAAATTGTTGTCAAATGAAATTATTTTTTAAAAATAAGAAAATATTGATTAAAATCATTACTTAACCGATAATCTAAAATTTTCATCTTTCTTTAATTTTTTAAAAAATTACGAATTTTTTTTTTGCAATTTACCAAATTTATTTTTGCAATTATTAGTTGTTAGTAGTAATTTATGATTGCTATAATATTAATTAATAGGATGATAATTTCGGAATTTTTAGAATTTTTTCCATCAATCTGACATATACACATCCCGGATATGTGGAATCTTTTATTCTTTTTTCTTATTTTTTCTTTGGAAT